GCATCAGAATCTTTTCAAATGAGTCAGTTCTTTGCATTAGGAGCTTCAGCTTCAGCATCAGTTCTTCCAATGAATATTCAGGACTGATTTCCTTTAGCATGGACGGGTTGGACCTTCTTGCAGTCGAAAGGACTCTCAAAAGTCTTCTCCAACACCACAGTTTAAAAGCATCAATTTTTTGGCACTCGGCTTTCTTTATAATCCGACACTCACATCCATATATGACTACTGGGAAAACCATAGCCTTGACTAGACAGACTTTGTTGGCAAAGTAATGTATCTGCTTTTTAATATGTTGTCTAGTTTGGTAGTAACTGTTCTTCCAAGGAGAAAGTGTCTTTTAATTTCATGGCTGTAGTCACCATCTGCAGTGATTTTGGAGCCCAAAAAGATAAAGTTCTCCACTGGTTCCACTGTTTCACCATCTATTTGCCATGAAGTGATGGGACTGGATGCCATTATCTTAGCTTTCTGAATGTTGAGTTTGAAGCCATCTTTTTCACTCTCCTCTTTCACTTTCAGCAAGAGGTTATTTAATTCCTCTTCACTTTCTGCCATAAGGGTGGTGTCATCTGCATATCTGAGGTTATTGATGTTTTTCCAGCAATCTTGATTCCAACTTGTGCTTCATCCAGTCCAGCGTTTCCCATGATGTACTCTGCATATAAGTTAAATAAGCAGGGTGACAATATACAGCCTTGATGTACTCCTTTTCCTATTTGGAACCAGTCTGTTGTTCCATGTCCAGTTCTAAGCTTTCTGAGCTTAGACTTCTGAGCTGCATACAGATTTCTCAAGAGGCAGATCAAGTTGTCTGATATGCCCATCTCTTTCAGAACTCTCCAGTTTGTGGTGATCCACACAGTCAAAGGCTTTGGCATAGTCAATAAAGCAGAAGTAGATGTTTTTCTGGAACTCTCGTCCTTTTTCTATGATCCAACGGATGTTGGCAATTTGATCTCTGGTTCCTCTGCCTTTTCTAAAACCAGCTTGAACATCTGGAAGTTCACAGTTCATGTACTGTTGAAGCCTCCCTTGGAGAATTTTGAGCATTACTTTACTAGTGTGTGAGATGAGTGCAATTGTGCAGTAGTTTGAACATTCTTTGGGATTGTCTTTCCTTGGGATTGGAATGGAAACTGACCTTTTCCAGTCATGTGGCCACTGCTGAATTTTCCAAATTTGCTGGCATATTGAGTGCAGCACTTTCACAGCATCATCTTTCAGGGTTTGAAATAGCTCAACTGGAATTCCATCACCTCCACTAGTTTTGTAGTGATGTTTCCTAAGGCCCATTTGATTTTGCATTCCAGGATGTCTGGCTCTAAGTGAGTGATAACACCATCATGGTTATCTGGGTCCTGAAGATCCTTTATGTATAGGTCTTCTGTGTATTCTTGCCACCTCTTATTACTATATTCTGCTTCTGTTAGGTTCAGACCATTTCTGTCCTTTTTGAAGTGACAGAGCCAAAGCAAATATAGCACCCAGTTGTGGATGTGACTGGTGATAGAAGTAAAGTCTGATGTTGTAAAAGAGCAATATTGCATAGGAACCTGAAATGTTAGGTCCATGAATCAAGGCAAATTGGAAGTGGTCAAACAGGAGATGGCAAGAGTGAATGTTGACATTTTAGGAATCACAGAACTAAAGTGGACTGGAATGGGTGAATTTAACTCAGATGGCCATTATATTTACTACTGTGGACAAGATTCATTTAGAAGAAATGTAATAGCCATCATAGTCAACAGAGACCATGATAACATGAAATAAAACAAAGCTACTTCATAATTTTGTCTCAGCAGTCAAAACCAAGGCTGCAATGCCACATTCTAAATACCCTATCACTGAATTACCCCTGCTGGGACTTTTCAGGTGGCAATAGTGGTAAAGAACCTGCTTGCCATTGCAGGAGATGTAAGAGACATAGGCTTGATCCCCAGGTCGAGAAGATCACCTGGAGAAGAAAATGCAACCCACTCCAATGTTCTTGCCTGGAAAACCCCAAGGAGAGAAGAGGCTGGCAGGTGATAGTCCATAGGATCACAAAGAATCAGACATGACTGAAGCGACTTAGCACTCTCAAAACATCCAATTTAGAGCAAATGCTCACTTCATTATACCCTCCCCTAAATTACCCAGCCAAAGTCCAAATCCTTCAGTTAGGTATTTCTAGCATCCTCTTACTGAGATATATCAAGGTTCTCTATGCTATGTGTTCTTCTTTGCTACAACAAGTAATAAACACAGCTTATTTCACTACTGATTTATTCTTATTGGTTTGATTGAGGGACACTGACAGCGGTAAATTTTCCTTGGAAGTAAGCTAAAAAATTTTCAGATGATGGTTATATTTCATTGTGTGGATAAAATGTGTGTCCAGGAGAAGCTAGAAAGTGATCAACATGGGTGTTTCTCACAGTGACATTTTATATTTATGTAATTATTTCATGAATACCTCTCTTCCTATTAAATCTAGATAACCAGTTCCCTAAGAACAGTGAAAATATCTGGCTTTTCTCACCATTGTATCCCTAAGATCGAGCACAATGTCTGGCACATTGTAGACTTCTGGAGTACAATAGAAATAGAATATGAGATAAATACATAGGCTTCCATTTTCTAACAGCAATATTAAAAGAGTGAGAAACTCCTGGTAAAATTAATTTTACTAACATACTTTACCTCAATCTAATAAAAATTTTTTCATTTAAACTGCAATTAGCATAAAAAATTAGACATTTATATATTCTTTTCACAAAATCTTTGAAATCACTTATTTTATACTTGTAGCATATGTCAGTTTGAATGTTAAATTTTCATCATACAAATTTGACCTATACATAAGTTTCACAAGATTTACAGTTGAAAAAGTAGATTCAAATATCCAAGTTTTCTAGTAACTGAATTGTTAGCTTTTTAAAAGCTTTATTGAGGCATAACTAATGAAAATTAATTACACATATTTAAATTGTACAATTTGATGTTCTCATTTGTGTATATGTCAAGAAACAATCTTGGGTGAACACACCCATCATCCTCAAATGTTTCCTAATGCCCTCTTTCAATCAGTTTGCCCCACCTTTTGCCCGCTTACATGACCATGCAAGCACTGACCTGCTTCCTGTCATTAGTTTGCATTTTCAATAATTTTATACAGATAGAAGCATACAGTATGCATTCTTTTTTTAAAATCTGGTTTCTTTCACTCAAGCTGATTATTTTAAGATTCAGTCATGTGATGTGTGCATCAATAGTTCACTTTTTAATTGTTGATTTAATTGTTGATTACTATTCCCCTATATGAACAAAAAATTTTTTATCCATTCACCTGTTAATGAACATTTAGTTTGTTTCTACTTTTAGGCTACTATAAATACAGCATCAATAGTTCACTTTTTAATTATTGATTTAATTGTTGATTACTATTCCCCTATATGAACAAAATTTTTTTTATCCATTCACCTGTTAATGAACATTTAGTTTGTTTCTACTTTTAGGCTACTATAAATACAGCTGCTATAAAGATTCATGTAAAAGTTTTTGTAAGGATAAGTGCTATCACTCCTCTTGGGCAAAGACTTATCAGAATAGTTGGATAATAGGGCAGGTGTTATGTTTAGCTTTAAAAAAACTGCCAAAGTGTTTTCCAAAGTGGCTGTACTATTTTACAGTCCCAACATCAATGTATGATTGTTCCTTTATCTCCATATCTTTGCCAATGATTCTTATTCTAGAGAGTGTGAAATACCTCATTTTGGTTTCAATATGCATTTCCTGAATGGTGTATGATTTTGAGCAGCTGTTCACATATTTATTGAATGTTCATGTATCAGTTTTGTTGAAATATCAAGCTAATATCTTTTGTTCATTTTGTGAACAGATCATTTGTCCTTGTAAGTGTTTTGTATATGCTGGATAAAAGTCCATTAAGGGATAAGTGATTTGCAGATATTTCCTTTTAGGCTGTTGCTCATCTTTTCGTTTTCTTCATGGTATCTTTCAAAGTGTTAAGGTTTTGAATTTTGTTGAGATCCAATTTATCCATTTTTAATTTTATGGATTGCACTGTTGACTTAATATCTAAGAAATCTTTGCCTAACTCTTAGTCTCAAATATTTTCTCTTATTTTTTTCATAAAGTTATTGGTATAGCTCCTGCATTTAGGTCTATAATCTATTTTGGAGTACTTTTGTGTGTGTGTGCAAGTCGGACTGTCCCAGTACCATTCATTAAACAAAAATCTTTCTCTTCCACAATGAATTGTCTTAACATTTTTTAAATCAGTTCCCTATAAATATAGCAACTATTCCTGCACTCTCAATTCTTTTCCATTGTTTCAAAGCTATTTACCATGCGATAACTTGAGATTTTTTTCTAAAAGTCTACTTACATTTTTTTTTCTTTTACTATTGAATCCTTTAATAGTTTCCCTTCTAAGGAAAAGTTACATCAAAATTTCCTGCATGTTAGATTTATAGGTGCTACACAGGCTAACTGAATGAGATTCTTTAGGAAAACACAATTTTAATGAAATTTTGTTAGATTAATATAATAAGACTCATAACAGTTGTAATATTGTTAAAATATTAGTTACTCACCACTTCTAAATACTGAAATACACAAATATATAGTAATGTAATTTATTTAACCTTGATCGAGATGTTTATATCAATCATGATTCAATTCTATGATCAAATTAACTGGGCTTATTAGATGTATAAAAATTATGATATTTTATGAAATATCTTTAATTTTTTTTAACTGAAAAAGCTGCTCAAAGTTTATACAGTGTTCTAATTACTGCCTTTTATTTAAGGCTACTTTTTAGTTTATATAAATATTATGATCTCAAAATATGTCCTTTGAGATTAGGATTAATTAACTTACTGAGGCTCAGTATTGCCAACTTTACAAATATCATGACAATTTTCTCAATGGCATTCCTACTAATGAGAAGGGGGAAACCCATTTGCTGCTTTAAATGAAAGATTACTTACTGCTCTTTTTCTAGAACACCCTGTAATCCAAGGCACAGTAAGGTTTCCTGAAATCTGTGGAAACAACAAATGGAATCTCAGTAAGGTATGCATTGATACTATTTGGAATGCTGATCAACACCAAAGAATTCACACAAGATGTCAAGATAGGTCTGCATTCAGAGCATATCCCCTATGTGGACAAATGCTGTTACCTTATTGAAAACAAGAGATTTAAAAGGCCTTCCTTCATGGCAAAATTGAAAAAGTAGTGCAGTTCCTCTGAAAATTTAAGAAAATTTTGAGGACGTTTTTTGGGCCTGGAGATATGGTTTGGAAATCTATGGACAATAAAATTATTATAATAAAACTTAATTGGTCTGTGTAATAAATGAGTTACAATCATCAAATAATTACCTACACTCATTGTACTATATATTGGCTGTCTACATTTATTCATCTTACATAATTGCAAGGCCCTTTTTAAGTAGAAACTACTAAGGTGAATAGCTAGTAACACCATATTACATCAGCATTGCCACATAAGGAGATAGATGGTACTCTCATAGGATTCTGTGGAGTGATTCCAGAGACCAAAGTGTTTCTGAGAGCAATGACTCTGGTTAGCCTATACTTAACCACACCTTTTCCTAAGACATACAAGGATTGGGGAGTACTCAGAACTCTACACTTGCTCTCTCCTTCCCTCCCAAACATATGGTTCTTTTTTCTTTCTTTCTTTTTTTTTTAATATTGTAGTGGTTTTTGTCATACATTGACATGAATCATCCATGGATTTACATGTATTCCCCATCCCAATCCCCCCTCCCACCTCCCTCTCTACCCGATCCCTCTGGGTCTTCCCAGTGCACCAGGCCCGAGCACTTGTCTCATGCATCCAACCTGGGCTGGTGATCTCAAACACATGGTTCTTAAGAGACTGACAAATCAGCCTTTCTAAGTGGTAGTGGTGAAGGAATTTGGTATTCAATAAAACATTTTTTGGTTTTGATAAATTATATTTAGTGATGATCAATGAATCTGTATTATGCTTATTTATAAGAAGTGATGCTCAAACAGTCAAGGTAAGTTGTAAAGTAATATTATTGAAATACCAGGTAAATGATTACTGCCCTTGGCTATCAGACTTGCCATTTTACTTTGACTTAAAAATACATCAATATGCTAAGAACTGGTTATAAATTATACAAACTCCAAATAATACTTGTAAGGAAAACTTTTATTCAAGTTAAAATCCCATTAAAGTATAATAGCAAATAACTCAAATGCTTGAGGGCATGAGAATGTTTGCATAATTGATTTTTTTAATGGTGAATTGAGAATTAAAAACTTCTACAGAAAAATACTTCAAAAGTTATATCTTCTTATCTTATCACTAGTACTTGGTATAAGATAAAATGTTTGCAAAGTAAATTGATTGCTGGTCTCAATGAAGGAGGTAAACCTGCTAAAATAGTCATATAATATAATCTTGAAAAAATAGAGATATCCAACTGGATATATGTATATGTAATTTTATCTATAACTGAGGATATTTAAAACTCATCATGTTAAGTTGCTGGAAAAAATATGTTAAACCAAATGAGTTAAACTTCCCTCATAAACTAGTAACTACTCAAAAGGAAGGAAAGTTATGACCAACCTAGACAGCATATTAAAAAGCAGAGACATTGTCAACAAAGGTCTGTCTAGTCAAGGCTATGGTTTTTCCAGTAGTCATGTATGTATGTGAGAGTTGGACTATAAAGAAAGCTGAGTGTCAAAGAATCAATGCTTTTCAACTGTGGTGTTGGAGAAGACTCTTGAAAGTCCCCTGGACTGCAAAGAGATCCAACCAGTCTATCCTAAAGGAGATCAGTCCTGGGTGTTCATTGGAAGGACTGATATTGAAGCTGAAATTCCAATAATTTGGCCACCTGATGCAAAAAGCTGAGTCATTTGAAAAGACCCTGATGCTGGGAAAGATTGAAGGCAGGAGGAGAAGGGGATGACAGAGGATGAGATGGTTATATGGCATCACTGACTCAATGGACAAGAGTTTGGGTAAACTCTGGGAGTTGGTAATGGAAATGGAGGCCTGGTGTGCTGTAGTTCATGGGGTCTCAAAGAGTCAGATATAACTGAGCGACTGAACTGAACTGAACTGAACTCAAAAATTAATATGAAACAAATGATATATATAATAAACAAGGTAACTGAATTTCTTTAAACATGGACATTATACAATTAAGAATATAAAATGTAGATTCACAAGAGGGCAGACAGAAGAAGTAAGAACTACAGTGTCACAGCCTCCATAATGAAAATAACAATCACACAAAGCTAATCAGAATGAGACAGCAGAAGATTATATCCCAGATGAAGGAACAAGATAAAACACCAGTAAAACAACTGAATGAACTGGAAATTGGCAACCTTCCAGAAAAACAGTTCAGAATGATGATAGTGAAAATGATCCAGTATCTTGGAAAAATAACAGAGAAGATGCAAGAAATGGTTACCAAGACCTAGAAGACCTAAAGAACAAACACACAGAAAAAAAACAATACAGTAGAATGAATCAATAATAGAATAGTTAAGGCAGAAGAACAGATAAGTGACTTGGATGACAGAATGGTGGAAATCACTGCTGCAAAATAGAACATAGAAGAAAAGAATGAAAAGAAACGGAAACAGACTAAGAGACTTCTGGAACCACATTAAACATACCAGCATTTGCATTTTAGGGACCCTGAAGGAGAAAAGAGAGAAAGGACAGGGAAAATATTTGGTGAGATAATAGCTGAAAATTCGCAAACATGGGAAAGGAAATAATCAACCAAGTCCCAGAACTGCAGTGTCCCAGGCAGGATAAACCAAAGGAGGAACACACCAAGACACATAGTAATCAAACTGACAAAAATTAAAGACAAAGATAAAATATTAAAAGTAACAAGGGAAAAACAAAAAATAATATACAAAGGAACTGCCATAAGGTTTCAGGTAATTTCTGAACAAAAACTCTACAAGCCAGAAGGGAATGACATGATATATTTAAAATGATGAAAGGGGAAAGCCTACAATCATAAATACTCAATGCAGCAAGACTCACATTCAGATTTGATGGAGAAATCAAAAGCTTTCCAGACAAGCAAAAGTTAAGAGAATTCAGCACCAGCAAATCATCTATACAACAATTAGGCAGGAAACACAAGAGAAGGAAAAAACCTACAAAAAATAAACCCAAAACAATTAAGAAAATGGTAATAAGGTCATACATATTAATAATTACCTTAAATGTAAATAGATTAAATGCAGCAACCAACCAAAAGACATAGACTGGTTGGGTGGATACAAAAACAAGACACATATATATGCTGAGACCCACCTCAGACCTAGGGACACTTACAGACTGAAAGTAAGGGGATAGGAGAAGGTATTCCATGCAAATGAAAATCAAAAGAAAGATGGAGTAGCAATACTCATATCAGACAAAATAGATTAAAAAAAAAGACTTACAGAGACAAAGAAGGGCACTACATGATGATCAAGTATTCAACTGAAGAAGATATAAAAATTACAAATATATATACATCCAACACATGAGCACCTCAAAATGTAAGGCAAATACAAACAAGAGTAAAGGGAGAAATCAACAGTAATGCAATAGTAGTGGGACACTTGAACTCCCCACTTTCATCAATGGACACATCTCTACACAGAAACTAATAAGGAAACACAGGCTTAAATGACACTTTAGAGTGGATGGACTTAACTGATAAAATTATAGAGCATTCCACCCCAAAGCAGCATTCTTCTCAAGTGCACACGGAACATTCTCCAGGAATGACCACATGCTGGACCACAAGGCAAACTTCGGCAAATTAAAGAAAATTGAAAACACATCAAGCATGTTGTCTCATCAAAGTGTTATGAGATTAGAAAAAAAACTATAAGATGGAGGTCCTAAGATAGTGGAGGAATAGGATGGAGAGACCACTTTCTCCCCAGCAAATTCATAGAAACATCATTTGAATGCTGAGCAAATTCCACAAAACAACTTCCAAACGTGGGCAAAGGAAAACAGGCACCCAGAAAGGCAGCCCATTGCCTTTGAAAGGAGATGTTTTACCATCAGTGCTGTAGGAATGGAGACGACTTGAGGCTACTGTAAGATTAAGACCAAAAACCAGAGGCAAGAGGCTTAAATCCAAAACCTGAGAACACCAGAGAACACCTGACTCCATGGAACATTAATAGATAAGAGCTCATCCAAAAGCCTCCATACCTACACTGAAACCAAGCTCCACGCAAGAGCCAACAAGTTTCAGAACAAGACATACCATGCAAATTCTCCAGCATCATAGGAACATAGACATGAGCTTTAATATAAAGGCTGCCCAAAGTCATACCAAACCCATAGACATCTCAAAACTCACTACTGGACACTTCATTGCACTCCAGAGAGAATCAATCCAGCGCCACCCACCAGAACACTGACACAAGCTTCCCTAAACAGGAAACCTTGACAAGTTACTGGTCCAACCCCACCCGCAGGGAGGAACCTCCACAATACAGAGGAAACACAAACCGCCAGAATACAGAAAGGTCACCCCAAACACAGCAATATAAACAAGATGAAAAGGCACAGAAATATTCAGCAGGTAAAGGAACATGATAAATGCCCACCAAACCAAACAAAAGAGAAGATAGAGAGTCTACCTGAAAAAGAATTCAATATAATGACAGTAAAAATGATCCAAAATCTTGAAAACAAAATGGAGTTACAGATAAATAGCCTGGAGTCAAGGATTGAGAAGATGTAAGAAATGTTTAACAAGGACCTAGAAGAAATACAGAAGAGTCAAGCAATAATGAATAAGGCAATAAATGAGATAAAAAACACTCTGGAGGGAACCAACAGTAGAATAAGAGAAGCAGAAGATAGGATAAGTGAGGTGGAAGATACAATGGTGTAAATAAATGAAGCAGAGAGGAAAAAAGAAAAAAAGAATTAAAAGAAATGAGGACAATCTCAGAGACCTCTGGAACAATGTCAAACGCCCCAACATTCG